TTTATTTGACAGAGAAAGACAGCGAGAGAGGGAACAGGAACAGGTGGAGTGGGAGAGGGAGAAGCAGAGTCCCTGCTGAGCAGGGAGCCCGATGCGGGGCTCTATCCCAAACCCCAGGATCATGACCTGAGCGAAGGCAGATGCTTAACGACTGAGCCACCCAGGCGCCCCATAAGTGACATTCTTTTCTAGTCTATGCATAAACCTCTGAATAATTAAGAAGGCTCATAGAGTAAATAAAAAGCCCAAACCAGAATTTAAACAGATTCAAGGCATAAACCAGAAAGGAAAATCACTGAAGATTCTAATATCAGTGCATACCTTTTTAGCTTTTGAATTGAAATACTCTAGGCACTTACATAAAAAGAGATATTCTTTCCTGTAAAAGATGAATTCTTCTTGACTTTTATTGGTTAGTTACTAAAAGAGCTTTTTATACTTTATTCTTTAAAAATAATTTAGTTGTAAAGGAGTTTTTTTCTTTTAATGGAAAGGATTCTTCAAAGTAATATAATTGATTGAAGTCTACATAAACTTTTTGGTTTTGTTTGTAGCTTTCTTTTGTAGGAATGAAAACCGATAAGATAGACAGGGTATGTCAGCATTAACTCATTACTGCTGTTGATAAAATGATATGTTAGTCCGTATTATAATTTCTTGTGAGGCAAGGGACCCCTTTAAGCCTCTGATCGCCTGAGAATACCTAACTTCTTTACAGAGCATCTAGTAGGGAGGTCTGTGGTCTGGGGTAGAGGCCAGCATTGCTATGGCTTCAGTTTTCTTAACTCACTACACTTGTAAATGTAAAGAATATTTCCATCCCATTTTTTAAAATTGAACCATTGTGATAAAATGCAGCAAGTCAATGTGAGCTTGAGTATTAAAGTATAAATTTAAAGTTTAAGAGATATATATATGTATATATATGATGTGTATATATATATACACACACACACACGTATATATATACACATATATGTATGTATAGGGATGTTCCTACATTTTTAGAAAGCTGTTCAGTGCTTCTTTGCCAGTTTTTTTCTGTGATATTACCAGAAATTGAGGCCAAAAATAGATAAAATATGGGTCTAAATAATTTTTCTGTGAGACAAATCTGGTTACTTCCAGAGGCTTGCTTTTTTCATTCTTTATTATGGGAAATTTCATACATACACAAAATTGGAGAGCATAAGGTAACAGATACCTGTGTATTTATGAACCAAATTCAACAATTACCAAAAACTTTAATTTGTAGTGATGTTGGAACATTATTACTGATTTGAAGTTTTACATTACTTTTTTGCGATCCATACTTTATTTTCCAGTTTAAAGATAAATTTGCCACCAAATGATACTAAATATTTAGAGCCTAATTTGGATAAAATCCATCAAAATCACAGAGCATCCTGGATTTGCTGGCACAGTCTTGATTTTTGTTTCATGAGGGACACTAAAGAGGTAGAAATTAAGTCTTCCCTATGCCTTTACATGCTTACAAAACTATGTTATATACACACACACACACACACACATACACACAGACACATACATACTTATATACTTAACATAGATCTACCAGGTGAGGAATCAAAAGGACTGACTGAAATGTACCCAAAATAGTCCCAAACCTGGGAAGTTGTATATTTGAAAAGTTAGGCTGACTCTAATCTTGCCCCAAGAATTCCCCTCCTCCTGCCTAATTTTTCTTTCAACATATTTCTCAAATGCCTCTGGCTATAACTTCTAAGGTGGCGCTCATTCTGAAATGATAGTGTCTGTGATATGCTAATTACATGTTGGGATGTTAATAACATTCTAAATATATGTGGTATTATTTGTAAGATATCAAATAAGCTTCTATAGCGGACCTATTCAATCAACTAAAACGTTTCCGCACAGGATTATTTGCTATTCCCTTTTTGTGTCTACGTGACGGGGTACTGGCTGTGTGGGAAAGAGAGTCAAGCGGGAGTCTAGGCAGTCTTGCAAGATGGGAAACTGTACTAGAGCAAATACAAAACACACCCGTGCTGATTAGTACTTAGAAAAAAGTCTTCACTTTTTTTTTTTTTTTATACAAATAACAGGTTGATCCAAAATCCCATGGCTCACTTTAAACAGGTATAATTAACTCTGTAATTATTAAAGTAAATAAGAACTTTTAATTAAATCATAATAACTACTTTGGTTACAGCCGAAAGCATGAATTTCTCTTCTTAGAGACATATGAACTAGGCACTCCTCATTGTTGTGCTTCCTGTTAAATTCACCAGGTGGTGGGTATATATCCCTTTTTCCGCACTGATCCCAGTTTATCAGAATGCAGGATTTACCTTTAAGGGTGTGTTCTCTTACTGGTAGTGTCTCCATTAATGTCTTCACCTCCCACTCCTATAATTTGACGAAGGCAGTCAAGGTATAATTGTAGCTTTCCTAATCCACCCTGTTCTGAGTTTTCCCAAGCCCTAGATGTCTCTGCAGTGCCAAAATAAAGCCCTGGGGAATTTGGTTGACAATTGCAAAGCTGTTCATGTTACTATAAAGTGGTGGTGAGGCCTGTGGCTTTCAAGTATGCAGATGCTTTCTTAGAATGGATATATCAGCCCTTTTGCAGGTGGATCATATGTGTGATGGAAGTCTATGCTTGGCGTGCCCTCCTAGTCGTATCTAATTGTAAAGTTTATTTAATCAGTAAAATGGGTAATGGGCCTTTAAAGCACATTGAAGCTTCGATTAATGTCCTTGGAAACTAAGTTCCAAGTAATGTCTTGGAAACAAGATCATGGGCAAGTATGACAAACTACCGATGAGTCACACCTCGCAGCCACTAAAATGGTTTATAGGTAATTAGCATAATAGAATTGTTCTTCTGCTGTTTGGGTATCATTTTTGGCTCATGGCTACCTCCTGCATCAACTCTTTTAACTTTCACTATGGTTATCAAACAGGTTTTGCATTGAGTTTTGTTCTGAGAGTCTCAAAGTTTCTGTATAAATATTACTGGGTGGCAAGTATTCAGTATTTTTCCATTGTATTAAAGTAAGGAAACCACAGCATTAAGAGGTTTGTCACTTATACTGGTCAGCTGGGTTTATGCCCCTGCATTTGTGAATTGTGTCTCAGTTTTCATGTTTGAGATTTTTAAAAACAATCTGTTTTTTTTTTTAATTTAAATTCAATTAGCCAACATATAGTACCTCATTAGTTTTTTGATACAATGTTCAATGATTCATTAGTTGTGTATAACAATCAGTGTTCATCACATCATTTGCCCTCCTTAATGCCCATCACCCAGTTATACCATCCTCTCACTGACCTCCCTTTCCACAACCCTCAGTTTGTTTCCCAAAGTCCAGAGTCTCTCATGGTTTGTCTCCCTCTCTGATTTCTTCCCATTCAGTTTTCCCTCCTTACCCCTGTGGTCCTCTGTGCTATTCCTTATATTGCAGATATGAGTGAAACCATATGATAATTGACTTTCTCTGATTGACTTATTTCACTTAGCATAATACCCTCCAGTTCTATCCATGTCGATGTAAATGGTAAGTATTCACCCTTTCTGATGACTGAGTAATATTCCATTGTATGTATGAACCGTATCTTCTTTATCCATTCATCTGTTGAAGGACATCTCGGTTGCTTCCACAGTTTGGCTATTGAGAACATGGCTTCTGTGAACATTGGGGTGCATATGGCCCTTCTCTTCACTACATCTGTATCTTTGGGATAAATACCCAGTAGTGCAATTGCTGGGTCATAGGGTACCTTTATTTTTAACTTCTTTAGGACCTTCCATACTGTTTTCCAGAGTGGCTGTACCAGCTCGCATTCCCACCAACAGTGTAAGAAGGTTCCCCTTTCTCCACGTCCTTGGCAACATTTGTTGTTCCCTGTCTTGTTAATTTTAGCCATTCTAACTGGTGTGAGGTGGTATCTCATTGTGGTTTTGATTTGTATTGCAGTGATGGCAAGTGATGTGGAGCATTTTTTCATGTGTCTGTTGGCCATTTGTATGTCTTTGGAGAAGTGTCTGTTTGTATCTTCTGCCCATTTCTTGACTGGACAATCTTGCTTTTAAGAGCAAGTGGGTTGTTTTGAGTCACGAAATTAATCTAACCTGTGATTTATCTGCAGGCTAAACATTTGTTTTTCATATTGTATGCAGTTCCATAACTTTTGTTTTGACCTTGTGAAATTCAGTTTTCCTAAAGATTATGCTTTAGTGTTCTAGGATTTTCATCCTGTATTAAACTAATTAATAGGTGATCATAAGGAAAATTTTTCTAGAATTCAACTTACACAGGCTGGTTTTGGTAAAGGACTTAGAGAAAAAGAGATATCACTGGTTCTGTTATAATTCAGAAACCCAACTCTAAATGAAAAAGCGGTTATCTACCTTTACATTAGTCACTTGTACCAACTGGTGATTTAAGAAGCTTATTTGAATCTTGGTGCCTATTGCTGTGTTTGCTTCAGATTGCATTTCCACTTCACAGCCCTCACTGAGGGCAGTGTAATTATGTGGTACTGTTTACAGATGATTAATATTTAAGTAGAAATGTGCTGCTTTAGGAAAAAGGAAGCTGAGGTAGAGTAATGTGATGGCAAACCAAGCCTCTTTTTGTGGAATTCCAGAATTTTCAGAAAATCCCTGACAACTACCATTCATTTCAGGTAGAAGAAGCTGAGGTGGCCATTGTTTTTTATGAAGTTTGGAAAGTGTGGAATTTTAATCACATAATTTTTCTTAGAATGTAATATGCTTGATTAAAATTATGACTATTTTAAGACTACAGAGAATAACTTAACAAATACCCATGTACCTATCATCTATTCCTGTCAAGTCCTGATCTTTTTCCCATACTTGCTAAGCTTTTCTTTTTTAAGAAATAAAACAAAACTGATGCTGTTGAAGTATTCTGTATAATCCTCCCCCGAATCTAGTTTTCTGTCTTCTTCCTTTTTTTTTTTTTTTTTTAAGATTTTATTTATTTTGACAGAGAGAGACACAGCGAGAGAGGGAACACAAGCAGGGAGAGTGGGAGAGGGAGAAGCAGACTCCCCACTGAGCAGGGAGCCCGATGCGGGGCTCGATCCCAGGACCCTGGGATCATGACCTGAGCCGAAGGCAGACGCTTAACGACTGAGCCACCCAGGCGCCCCTGTCTTCTTCCTTTCTTCATCAGAGGTAACCACTGTCCTGATATATTTTGTTATGTATGAATATAGTCATACATAAGATAGCTTCATTTTCCATGTTTTCAATAATATATATCCATAGGAACATACTGTAATATATATCATTCTGCAGCTTGCTTTTCATTAGGTTACCATTGTGGTTTTTAACTACAGGCATGTTGATATTTGTAGGTTAGTCATTTATTTTAGCTGTTATATAGTATTCCATTATATTTATTATAATTTATACATTTCCTGTTGGTAGATATTTAGATTTCTGGTTGTTCTGCTTTTACATACAATGTGGCAGTGGGTATTCTTGTAATATGTGTAAGATAATTGCTCTAGGCCCCAGAGTCTAGGATTTTTATGCAGATGTGAAGTTGCTGGACTGAAGGGTATATGCATCTTCAGCTTTACTATATGTTGCCAAATTGTTCTGTAAAGTACTCACATGAATTTATACTCCCACCATTGGTGTATAAAAGTTTTTGTTCCATATTCTGATCATTCTTGGTTTTATCAAACTTAAATTGCAGACAGAGGGAAAAACAAATGAGAAGACTTTTGTGTGGCAAGGAGATGAGGTGAGAGAATTAATAGGGAGGCTCATTAGCTATTGTAAAGACTTTGTCTTTTACCTTGAGTGTGATTACTATCTGAAATGCGAAGGTTTTTAACAGAGAAGTGATGTAATCTTATTTAGGTTTTAAAAGGATCACTGTGCTTGCTGTATTAAGAGGACAGTATAAGAGAGGCTAAAGGAGAAAGCAAGGAGACTAATTAGGAGGCTGTTGTTATAATTTAGGCAAGAGATGATGGTGACTTAGTCCAGGGTGTAGATGAAGGTGGTGAAGAATGTTCACAGTCTAGATATATTTTGAAAGTAGAATGAACAAGATATGCTCATGTATTAGATGTGGAATGTGAGAGAAAAAATACAGAGTTTTGGGCCTGGACAACTGGAAGGCTAGAGTTGCCATTCATTGAAAGGGTTCTGCGGGAGAAGCAGGTTTAGGAAGGAGAGAGAAATCAGGAATTTGATTTTGAACAAGCAAGTTCTAGATGCTTCCTTAGCATTCAGGTTAAGATGTTGACTAGGCAGGTAGATTCAAGAGTCCAGAATACAGAGAAATCTGATTGAGGAGTATGGATATCATCATAGAGGAGTGGTTTAAAGCCATGAGATTGGATGAAGGAATGAGTGCAGAGATAGAAGTCCAAGAAGATCCCTGGGCCAGTCCAGCGTTTACAGGTCAGGAGAATGAGGTTTACTGACAAGAGAGAGTGCTCAGTAAGGAGGAGAACCAAGAGTGAGTAGTGTCCTGGAAGCCTAGTGTAGAAACTGTTTCAAAGGAGAATTGGTTGGTGATGTTGAATATGCCCAGATCAAGTAAGATGAGTGCTGAGACTTGACCTTTGGTTTTAACAATATGGAAGGCATTAATGACTTTCATAGAAGCTGTCTCTGTGCAGTAGTAAGGAGATAAAGGCTAAGATGGAGTGCTTTCAAGAAAGAATGGGAAGACAGGAATGGAAGATAACAAAAATAGATACCTCTTTTGAGGAATTTCTTCCCTAAAGGGAGTAGAAAAATGAGACCATTGCTGGAAGATGATACAGGATTAAGAGTTTTTTCAAAGATAGGAGCTAGTATAGTGTGTTTGATGCTGATATGAATAGTATAATAGAATAGTATAATAAAGGAAATTGATGATGCGTAAGAGAGAGGGGTGAATTGCTGGAATGAGGTTGAGTAGATGAAAGGAGATGGAGGGATACAATGGAGGGATTGGTCTTAGTAGGAACACAGACCATTCATCCATAATGGCAAAGGGAAGGCAAGAGTACTTTGGCACAAATGTAGATAAATGGATAGATTTTGATTGCTTTTATTTTTTCAATGAATTGGGAAGCAAGATCATCTGCTGAGCCCAAGGAGGGGAGGGAGATACAGAAGTAAAATATAGTAAAATGTATGACCTGATAACTCAGGAGACTAGAGAACTGGTCAGTGATTGCAAGGCCACACCACCTGTGCCAATAAGGTGGAGAATAGGATTTATCTAGGATTGGGATTTGCCTGGTGATCATGATAGGGGAATTAGTTGAGGGTGTATTCAAAGGAGGGGGATTATAATAATGGACCATGGACTCTAAAGTGGGCGAAGGACAGTGCAAAGGTGATAGGACCAGTGGATTATAGAGCTGAGGTTTAAAAATCTTAGAGTAAAGATATTTGAAGAGGTGAGTTGAAAAGGTAGAGGCTGGCTGGGTAGTGGGAAGCTAGAAATTGAGATTGTTCGGGGGTTCAAGTTATTAGTGAGGAGTTCTAGAGCATGACTAAGGACGAGTAGCTGAGGTCAAGTGAAGGAGTGTACCCTGAGAGGAGAGGAGGATGTCAAGGATCATTTATGTGGATATTTAAATCATCATGCATTTTGTTTCTAGGAATTTACTGATTTCTTCTAAGCTGTCAGATTTGTTGGCATATAATTGTGCATAGTAGTCACTTATGATTCTTTGTTATATCTGTGGAATCAGTTGTAATGTCTCTTTCATCTGATTTTATGTGAGTCCTCTTGTTTTTATTCTTGGTGAGTCTAGCTAAAGGTTTGTCAATTTTGTTGATCTTTTCAAAGAACCGGCTCTTAGTTCCTTGGTCTTTTCCATTTTTTTTTTTCATCTCTATTTCATTTATTTCTGCTTGGATCTTTGTCATTTCCTTCCTTCTACTAACTTTGGGTTTCATTTGTTTTTCTTTTTCTAGTTCTTTGAGATGTAATGTTTGCTTGTTTATTTTTGATTTTTCTTTTTTCTTAAGGTCAGCATTTATTGCTTGGAACTGCTTTTGCTGCTTCCCATAAATATTATTTTATTTTTTTAAAGATTTATGGTATTTTAGAGAGAGAGGGAGGGAGGGCATGAGCAGAGGGTGGGGCAGAGAGGGAGACAAGCAGACTCCCTGCTGAGCAGGGAGCCTGACATGAGGCTTGAGATCATGACCTAGCTGAAACCAAGAGTTGGACGCTTAACTGACTGAGCCACCCAGGCGCCCTGCATCCCATAAATTTTAGCGTCATTCTTCTGTTTTCATTTGTCTCAAGGTATTTTTTTTGACTTCTTAGATCATCATGCATTTTGATAAGAACAGGGTTGGAGAGAGTTATGGCCAGGAACTAAAATATTTAAGGAATGATATTGGAGGTGTCGTGTCGATGACTGCAGCAAGCATTAGGGATGGTGATGATAATTTGGTCTGAAAATTTGAGATTGAAAGCTAGAATTTTAGGGAGGCAGGTGAGACAGTAGTTTGGAAGTAGCAGAAAGAAATAAGAATACCTACCCTGTCTCCAGGCCTAATGTGAAGAGGAGTATGAGAATGAAGACAGGACTGGAAAGGGTTGCAGGGAGAGCCAGGTTTCAGTTGGCAGTGGCTTTCAACCCTGGCTGTGCATTAAAATCATCAGGGAGGGCTTGTGAACATACCATTTCCTTGGTCCCAGCCCCCAGAGATACTGACTCAGACAGTCTGGGGTGGAGCTCAAGCTTAAGTAAATATTTTTAACTCCCAGGTGATTGTATGTACAGCCAGGGTTGTGTCCCAAGCAGGAATGTTCTGAAAAAAGGATGAGTAATTGAGGATGACAGATGTGTTTTTGAGGGCATAGGGAAAGGGTTTGGGAGTTCAGGAGGGGTGGGGCATCTTTAAAAGTTTATTGGCCCTTTGAATTTCTGTGAATTACCTATTTATACCCATGAATCTTTTATTCTGTTGGTAAATGTTTGATTTTTGTTTTGGTTTGAACTTTTCATTGAAGTATTGCATGAATACTGAAGAGTATGCACCTGTATATATTGTGGAATGAGCACCAAGAAACAGAACATTACTAGCATCTAGAAACCATGCTTATGCCCCTGTTATATTAACTATCTCTTCACTGGGGGAGATTTATTTATTGAAAAGGCTCTTATGCTGCCTGTCTTGAGTAGCAAAATAGATTTCATATCAAAGTGTACTGGCCTTAGGTTATAGGGTAAACCAAAATAGTCCCAGCCATGATTTTTTCTCTTTTCTTCTTAAAGTACATAGAATACATAGAAGAGGGCTTGCAGAATCCAAGAAAACCTTTTTTTTTTTTTTTTTTTAATCTGAAAACTGGTCGCCTGGAAATGCATTGTAGTTGGAGATACTGTGGTCTTTTGTGCTGTTTCTTCATTAGCTCTTTTCCTGACTGGAAATGAGTTGTTTTGGCAAGTGGAAACATGTTCTAAGTGATAGGACCTCACCCAGGTGGCCCAGACAGTTTGGGTCTTCTATACCTACCTGACTGTACTGAGTCTAGAGTTTAGGGTTTAGGGATTGTACTGAGTCTAGAGTTTAGGGTTACGGCTGTAAGTCAGATTTGAGTCAGGGAAGACCCCTGAGGAATGGTCATTATGGTTTTTTTTAGAAGTAAAATATATTGAATAAATGTAAATGGCCAGAGCCTGCTTTTAGCATTTGCAACTATTCATTTCCAGTATTTTGACCCCTGCTGAAAAAAAAAAGAAGAAAGAAAGACTGGATTTTTGATCTGCAGAATGTGCAACACAATGAACTTAATTTTTCATTTCTTAACAGAAAGCTGGGAAACAAAAAGCTGGTAGGATATTATGATGATGACTTTTTATTACTGTCAGGAGCAGGAAATACCAATTTCTTTTATTTTAGTTATTCCTTTAGCATCTGTTGAAGAATAAAATTAATTGAAAGTAACATCATAAATATTAAAGACTACTGGAAAAAATGGTGAAGGCAAAAATACTCCTTGCTTGAGACACTTGGCTGGCTCAGTCAGTAGAGCATGTGGCTCTTGATCTCAGGGTTGTGAATTCGAGTCCCATGTTGAGTGTAGAGATTACTTTAAAATCTTTAAAAAAGTACTGCTTGCTTGATTTTACATTGTACCACATTCTCTAAAATTCTTTGATGTTTAGTTGAGTACAATATCAGAATACTGTTATGAA